CCCCCAGCTGTCACCCCAGGAGGGCGGGGTGCAGGGTCGGGGCCTTGCACGGTGACATCCACAGCCCTGGCCCTTCAAGGCACTGTGGGCCGAGCTCAGAAATTAAACATTTCTTGCCCATACGTAACTGGGGAGATAATATTTCTCCCCTCTTACATAAGTTTAGTCTTCTTACTACACAGAGCAAATGATTACCGCCTGAGTGAATTAACCGTTGGATTCTCAGACGGTGCAAAATGATGGGCCTCCGCCAGCTGGTTTCAATATTCGGAATTAACTGCAAAGATACATGGAGACTGACTGTCAGAGGGCAGACGCCAGCCATACATTAACATACTCCCATTTCCAAATCTGTTCTGTTTAGTAATTAAGTATTACTTTAACCTTTGAGAGTTATCTTTTTAAATATGTTAAATTAAGGAATTGTTTAGCCCTAGGAAAACCCATCAACTACCTTCCTTTAAACTTGTGAAAACGGTTGTGCAATGGGCTTTTTAGGCAATGCCATTGCTAATCATAGATTTCAAATGTGTGGTTCCATCACACTTCTTTTCATCTTGGCAACAACATTACGTATTTTTCAGGAATTTGGGTTTCAATTTGATTGGCCATATGTTGTTGTTTATACAACTCCTGTGGCTCAAAGGATGGATTATCGGGTTTATAGACTGTACTACTGTGTGTCTACGCCTAAGGCGTACCATTCATGTTTCTAGGTTGCAGGTAAACTGTATCATTTTCCCAATTTATGCAGATTTCCAGTGTTATTACTAAGTTACAGCTATGGCATGCCACCACTTGTGTTAGAAAATACTTTAAGCATTTGCTTGGGGAAAGCACTGTACCACACCTAAGCAGCTAAGTCTCTTCATGCCTAGTCGTTCACTATGTAATATTCATGGGGCAGTTCCTCCTCTGTCCGCTTAGAAAAGCTCTGGCATTTGTCATTTACCATCCAACAGGCTGTTTTCTCCCACCTGTGCTGGATCCAGGGCTTGGCCTTTGTGATCCAGTCTTGAGCTGCCTCATGAGGCTGCTGAGAACATCACCTCGTCTTCCACAGAAGGGGCAGAAGCCAGCTTTGTGGAGTGCCCTTCACGTGTGCTGTCAAGTATTTACGCACAAGGAAATTGAGACTCTGGAGCATTAACTTGCCCCCTCCGACCCTCCGGGGCACAGGCCGAGGCTCTAACCACGGAGCCCCACCTGCCAAGGCTTCCCTGTAATCTCCTGTTTTCCCTTCTTCCAAAAATAAAATCAATGTGCTAAGACACCAAGTTAATTACAATTTCACTGGACTTAAGTTCCAGATCTCAGCAGGATGTGGTAAAGCACCAGCTTGTTTACATGTGATCTCTCCAGGGCTGGGCATGTTTTATTAGCTGTTTTAGATATAACGCACTTTTTGGGTTTTATTTAAAATATCCTTTTGATTTTAGCCTACAATTGCTTTTTGCTCTTTAAAATGTGTCGTGTCCCTGTTAACATGGTTGATGGTGTGTGTTTTTCTTTCTAGTTATGAAAAACCTCCTCCCGGGCTGATCAAGGTCAGTGTGAAGAGTGTCCTTTGGGTTGTTCTCTGAGCCGTTTCACTCGGGGCTCAGGCTCAGTAACTTGCTATGAAAGCAGCTGCATAAGGTTTTTGAACCACCTTTTGTGATAACCCTGTTTTTCCCCTGCAGGTGCCAGACACACACTTTGGGCTTTGNGAACCACCTTTTGTGGTAACCCTGTGTCTTCCCTGCAGGTGCCAGAGAGACACTTTTGGGCTTTGTCACAAGCCTTGTGTCCTTGTAGAAATTTACTCATGTGTCTGTTCCCTGAGAAACCGAGGCAGGCCCCTGGTGTCCCTCAGCCATCACTCCCCTTCTCTGCGCCCTGCTCAGTGTCAGAGTCTCTGGGGGAGTGAGACTAAGAGGAGTGGTTAAAGGCCAAAGCTACCTTTTCTGTTTAAAGATTTAACTTTCAACTTTAAAAAAAGATTTTTAAAAATTTATTATTATAAATTTAATATTCATGGAAACTGGGGGGGAAACTCCTTAGTGATAACTGTAGTTATTCAGTGGTGAAAATGCGTATCAAAGATACAGCATGTGTATGACTGGAAAACATGACAGTGGCCTTCAAGGCTAATAAGCTATTTTAATGCAACATGCTATTTTATTATTCTAGATAGCCATCTTTAATTCTTTTAAAAAATATTTATTGATTTTAAAGAGAGAAAGGAAGGGGGGAGAGAGAGAGAGAGAGAGAGACATCAATATGTTGTTCCACTTACTTATGCGTTATTGGTTGATTCTAGTGTGTGCCCTGGCCAGGAATTGAAGGCACAACCCTGGTGTATCAGGATGATGCTCTAACCAACTGAGCCACACCAGCCAGGGCTAGCCTTGTTTAATACTTATACCTTGCCTCATTCCACAAAGAGTTTGAGGTAGTGAAACCTTTCCTTGATCTTAGAATCTACTATATTCTAGAATTTAGAGTTCACAGATCATTCCTGTCTGAGGGACAGATTTCTATTCTGTTCCACTAGTAACTTTTCTCCAAGAACAGCCACTTCGTGTTTGTGACATAGTTCTTCTGGCACATTTATCCCCCTTTGGTCAGGTCTCATCTGTCTTTCCAGTCCCTAGAGGTAACCGATGTGGCCTTGGGCGCTGTGTTCTGCAGTCCAGGGGGGGACCCGGGCATTCTTCCCTGCTGTTCACGCACCGTTTCCCTTTTCAGGAGGATGAGACGAAGCCGGAGGACTGTATCCCCGATGTACCCGGCAACGAACACGCCAGGGAATTCCTGGCCCACGCGCCAACGAAAGGACTCTGGATGCCCCTGGGGAAGGAGGTCAAAGTCATGCAGTGTGAGTGTGAGAGTGTGTGGAGTCCCGAGGACACACACTCGGGCTTACCTCCATTCACAGTGTTTCTCTCATCCAGCTCATTCCCGTGACAGTGCTGTTAGTCACGCGCGATCTCTGCTCTATAGACACGGGGACCAACTTGCAGGCGGCAGGGAGCGGGCCCAGGTGACAGGTGGAGCAAAGGCGGGGCTCCAGGGCCCTGACTCCCAGTGCAGTGGCCTCCACAGGACGCTGGCTGCCTTGAGTACACTCTTAGTAATGTCCCTGCAACAGAAGGGACCTTCCATGGTGGAAATGCCGTGGGGGACAAGGGGTGCCTTGGAGGGCAGGTCCCTGTGGGTCTTGCCTCAGTCGGTCCCCCCATCAGTGGTGGTAAGGTTGTCCATGCGCCTGGGGAGCTCCAGGCCAGAGGGTGGGTCTGGGACAGGCAGAGCTGTGTGCACACCCCCGCCACCAGCGCAGCAAGGCCTGCTCCAGCAAGATGGCATTTGAAGAAAGGGCACCGCAGCCTTTTAAAGACATTTGTTTGTACAAAGAGTCTCCGTGCACATAATTGAAATAGCCGTTCCCAGCTCCATTTCTCCATTCCCTCACCACAGAGGTAACCACCTGAACCTCTTTTAAGGTTATTTCGAAGTTTAGCTCCACATACCTAAATAACATGATTATANTTTTGACCTTCAACTTCTTATGTCTAAAGATTATGCTCATTTTGAATTGATTCCCAGGTTTAGGCCTTACCTATTGACATTGTACAACGGAGGATGGGAATTTAGCTCTCTCCTGCTCTCACCACACACATACCCTTATTATAGTTCATCTTCCTAAGAACGGTTTTACCATAATTTTGGTTTGTTAAGTCTTTGGTATTTGTTATGATTATATTCAGAGCTGAGTCATATAGGAAACTGATTACTTTTCCTTCCATGTGTCCAGAATAATTATATCAATTCCCCCAGAATTATCTTAGTGGGTTTTTTTTGTTTAGTTTTTGGTGTGTGTGTGTGTGTGTGTATTGTTCATTTGCTATTGTTATTACTGTTTTTTATTTCCATGTATTGATTTCTAATTCAACCCTCAATTGTTCCCAAGCTTGAATCATAAGACCTTCAAATGCTTGAGGTAGCCTGTCAATTTCATCTTTCTGAAAATGACTGCTCCCATGCTGAACATCCGGGCTCGCCCTTCACTGTGTGTTAGGAATTGAACGTCTTTGTCATCCCCCGAAATCCATATGTTGAAGCCCTAACTCCCAATGGGATGGTATTTGGAGATGGGGTCTTTGGGAAATAATTAAGATTAGGTAAAGTCATGAGGGTGGCTCTCCTGATGTGAGCAGTTTCCTTTAAAAGAAGCGAAACCAGAGAGTTTGTTTTCTCTCTCCACTGTGTGAGGACACAGCTGTCTGCAAGCCAGGAAGAGCACACTCATCAGAAACCAACCGTGCTGGCACCGTCTCTAGCACTGTGAGAAAATAAATGCCTATGTCTTTTATGGCAGCCGGAGCTGACTCTAAGACACCATCACTCTGCAGTCTCCCTCAGCCTCTTCCTGTGTTGGAGCTCCTGTTTCCTGCAGTTGAGTCATCTCCTTTGTTGTTATACAGTACTCTCCTGTTACGGTGGAGTGCATCCTCCCACAGCTTCCTCTGAAATGGGCTTAGAGGAGATAGGATTTTCAAGACCTTAATTTACTGGAAAAATCTTTATTTTACAGATTTTTTTAATTTGCCCAGGGTATAGAATGCTACGTTAAAAATCACTTTTTCTAATATGATTTGATATGTAGAAAACCCTAATGATGTTAAAAAAAAAAAAAACCTTTTGGAACTGATAAATGAATTTGGTAAAGCAGCAGCATACAAAGGCAACATGCAAGTCAGCTGCATTTCTATACACCGACAATGAAAAATCTGAAAAGGAGCTTATAAAAACTATTCCACTTACAATAGAATCAAATGAATAAAATATTTAGGAATTAATGACAGAGATTAAAGTCTTATACAGTGTAAACCATAAACCATTGCTGAAACTAGTTAAAGACAAATAAATGGCAACACATCCGTGTTCATGGATTGGAAGACTTAATATTGTTAAGATGTCAGTACTACCAAAAGCGATCTCCAGATTCAGTACAATTACTATGAAAATCCCAATGTCATTTTTTGCAGAAATAGAAAAACTCATCCTAATATTCATATGGAATCTCAACGACCTCAAATAGCGAAAAGAATCTTGAAAAAAAAAGAGAACAAAACTGGAGGACTCACATTTCCTGATTTCAAAACTTACTACAAAGTTATAGTAATCAAACAGTGAGGTATGTAGAAAGACAGACATAGGGACCAATGGAATAGAATGGAAAGCACAGAAATACTGCCCTGCTTATATGGTCAACTGATTTTTTTACAAGAGTGCCAAGACCATTAAAGGGGAGCATGATAGTCTTTTCAACAAATCATGCTGGGAAAACTGGATATCTGTATGGGAAAGGACGAAGTTGGACCCTCATCTAATAGATACAAAATAATAACTCTAAATGGGTCAAAGACTTAAATGTAAGACCTAAAACTATAAAACTCTTAGAAGAAAACATAGAGCAAAGCTGCACAAAATTGGATTTGGCAGTGGTTTCTTGGATAAAACACCAAAGGCACAGGAACCAAAAGAAAAAATAGATAAATTTGACTTCATCAAAAATTAAAAACTCTGTGAATAAAAGATATTATCAATAGCATACAAAGGTAACCAACAGAATGGGAGAAAATATTTCCAAGTCATATAGCTGATAAAGGACTATAGCCAGAATGTAGAGATAACTCCTAACTCAACAACAAAGAAACAATCCGATTAAAATTTGACAAAGGACCTGAAGAGACATTTTTCCCAAGAAGATATATATACAAATGACCAACAAGCCCATGGAAACATGCTCAACACCAGTAATCATTAGGGAAATGCAAATCAAAACCACAGTGAGATACCACCTCCTACCCATCAGGATAGCCACTGCCCAAAAAACCAGAAAATAAATGTTGGCAGGGATGTGGAAGAACTGGAACCTTGTGCACTGTTGGTGGGAATGTAACTGGTGCAGCTGCTATGGGAAAAAGTAGTGTGGTTCCTCAAAAAATTAAAAATAAAATTACCATGGGATCCAGCAATTCTGCTTCTGAGTATATAGCAAAAGAATTGACAGAAGGGTCTTGAGGAGGTATTTGTACACCCATGTTCATAGCGGTATTATTCACAACAGCCAAAAGGTAGAAGCAACCTGTGTCCATCAACAGATGAGTGGATAAACAAAATATGGAATATACATGCAATGAAATGCTGTGCTGCCTTAAAAAGGAAGGAAATCCTGACACATGCTACAGTGTGGATGAACCCTGAGGGCAGCGTGCTAAGTGGCATTCACAAACAAGTCAAATAGTGTGTGATTTCCTTTATGCGAGGTACTTGCCATGGTCACAGTCACAGAGACAGAAAATGGAATAGTGACTGCTGCCTGTTCACCAGGCTCCCCAAAGCTTGGACTCGTCCCGTACAGGAGAAAAGACATGTATACTCTACATACTTTCATTCACTTGTTGGTTGTAGTGCTATTTAGAAGAGTGGTTTAAAACTTTAATATGTCTACAAGTCACCAATAAATCTTTTGAAATTCAAGTATATGTATTTCTGGGGTGGGCCCACTACTCTGCATTTCTAACAATCTCACATGTTGCCGATTTTGTAGGATCTTAATGGTTCATTCGCTGATTACATTTGCTTTTGGAATTGGAGTTTAATGAAGAAAAACCTTAACATGATCTACTGATTATCTTCATTAAGTGAAACTGTGTTTATCTTACAGAAATATTTCCTTTTTTCTTTGTTTTTAGGTTGGCGCTGTAAACGGTACGGTCACCGAACGGGCGACAAAGAATGCCCTTTCTTTATCAAAGGCAACCAAAAGTTGGAGCAGTTCAGAGTAGTAAGTAGAACCCCACCATGTGGATCTAACATCTTACGGAGGGTGAATATCCATGAATCAGGCAGTCACCGGTGAACTGGGGGTTCACATAAATACATTCCCAGAAGCATTTCGACCAGAGTGTCTGGTGTTACTAATCTCTGTTGAACTAATTACATTTGTGTGACAGATCAGTTCATTATATGTTGAAAATAAAGCTGCTCTTTTTGAAGCAGACATTGTTATTTATTGAATCCTTTTTTTTTCAATCCTCACCCGAGGATATGTGTTTTCATTGATTCTAGAGAGAAGGGAAGGGAGAGGAAAAGAGAGAGAAACATCGATTCCTTGCCTCCTGTACGCGCCCTGACCAGGGATCAAACCCTCACCCTTTGGTGCACAGGATGATGCTCTAACCAACTGAGCCACACCGACCAGGACAGTAATTTTGTTTTTAATTTACACAGGAAAATCATGTTTCGTAACTAAAAGCAGGGTTTTAGTTTCCCAGTCTTTATCTAAAGATTATATATCTTTAAATTATAAGCTAGAAGTGTGTGTATAAATTATATATGCTCTTTAGATGACAGTAAAAGAAATCTGTCATGTCCTCACTTTAACAGTCACGTCCCAGAGATGTTGAGTCACTGTTCAGTTACTGCTTCTGCCAAGTGAAATACGCTGCTGTCTGGGCGCTGAGGTTGGCAGCGTATGGCAAACTGGGGTCAACAGTCATTTAAAATACTTTTATTTCTTTAATAATCTTAAATACTTTTTCTGATCAGTCATTCCACTTCTAGGTGGAATGTCAGTTTTTATAGATACTATAGAACAGAGTGGTGTTAAACCTCAAAAACTTTAAACTTTTTTATTTTACTCAGAAATCCCACTTCTAAGAATTTACCTTAAGGACATAAGAGAGCATCAATATATATACAGCTGTTTATGTATGTATCAGGATAACTTTATAATTAATTATATGATTGAAAAAACGGAAACTAAAGAAAAATAGGAAACAACTTAGTAGTCCAGCATATCAACATAAACTGTAACAAAAGTCATTTAGCCATTAGGAATTATGTTTTAGAAGAATGTATAATGTGATAGGAAAATGTTCATGACTGGAAAGCGATAGAGTTATATATATAAAATGATTATAATTTTTCATAAATTATGAATAATGATTGCAGGAAAGAGACCAAATGTTAATAGTAATTATCTCTTGGGTAGTGAGGTAATAGATTTTTTTAATTTAATTTTTTTGGTAACACCTAAAATTTCTATATTTCTTCTGTTTTAAAATTGAGATCATTCACATACCATAACGTTTCCCATATATGTACTCTTATTTTAAGTAATTCAAATCATTTTAAGTTATCTGTGCTTCCTATATACTTCTGGACTTTGTTTAGGGTACTTAACATCTATTTTTGTGTACCCGTAAATGTTTCATTCTTATATGTCAGCGGTGGGGAACCTTTTTTCTTCCAGGGGCCATTTGAGTATTTATAACACCATTTGAGGGCCATACAAAATTATCAGTTTTAAAATTAGCTATGAAAAAAACTAGATTTATTGAATTTCGAGTCGCGCCTGCGGCTCCCTTGGCAGGACCAGACCAAATGATCTGGCCCCTGGGCCGGACTTTCCCCACCCCTGTTATTTATCATCTCTTGTAATTCACTTGTTATTTTAAAATACTATCTTAGCCACCTACCCACGTAGACCAAAGAGAATTACCGCAATATTTCTACTTTAAGTTATACCCTATACATATATTTTTCAATCCTGTATGTTTCTAACTGGAAAACCCTTCTGGTAGCCTGGGCGAGTCAGTGGTGATAGCGGCCCTTAGGGAGACTTGGAACATGGTAAACAAAACACTACCAAGCTGGGGAAGTAACTGGTTCTAGCAGCACAGAGATTTAATATGTTTACCTAACGGCCCCTGAGGCCCAGCCTCAACCTCCTCTGGCCCGCAGGCCCACGAAGACCCCATGTACGACATCATCCGCGACACCAGGAGGCACGAGAAGGACCTGAGGTGAGCTGGCGGCGGCGCCCCCGGGGCTGGGCGCGGGTGAAGCTGGGGAGGCGCCCATGGGCGAAGGGCGCTGCGGCGGCGGGAGGGG